AATAAAAATAAAAATCAATGGTTGTCCCTTTTTGGTAAAAGAGAAAAAGGTGATGACAATGAGTTGTAACTTCCGAAATGGAAGAAATAGGTTCCGTGTGGGTTACTTAAAGCAGCTAAGTGCGACCCATTAAAGAAACCAAGTTGTCATGTCACGAAAGCGAAAAAAATGAGGGTGCTCTACTCCCTTGGCATTATGAAAGCCCATGAATGCTGATGGACGCGGCCCCCACCTGGGACTCGAGGGGCAAACCCGATTTGCATCTGGATATGGGTTTAAAAATTGGATTTAGGGGTTTGGTCAGGGTCCAATCAGGTTTGATGGGGTTCGGGTCCATTAATATTCATTGGGTCTCAATTTATAAAATGTATTCTAATATAATTAAATATAAAAATATTTTAATTTTTCAATCGGATCCCAATCTGGATTCAGAACCGAGTCCCATATCAGTTTTTCGGGTCCAGATCTGGCTAGACCCGACTCGGATCTGTTGCCCGTCCTAATTGAGGGGTTTGGAAAATAAGACCTATTAAACAAACTCGATCCAACACACGTAGGAAATCAAATTCTAATATTCTCCTCCTAATGAAAAACCAAAACACCGAAAAAGAGAAAAAATAAAATAAAGATAATAATAATAAAAAAAAAACCAAACCAAGTTTGTCTTAGCCCACGCCTGGTCTGACCCTACCCTTTACTCGGGCTACTGCGTCCTCGGACCTCGGTCGCCCCCACTTCTCGCAAAGTTCAAAACTCTGTTACGTCTGTCCACCCTCACCTGCATTTATAGTTTGAACTCCCCCCACTCTCTCTCGCTAAGTCCTTTCCCGCTCTTTTGTCGAAGCCCTCTCCCTACCTTTGTAAAAACCCTGTCATTTTCCGTGCAGTCTGAATTCCGTGTAGCTTTCATCCTCTCTCTCTGCGTTCATTAAAGCTGCTGCGCCCATTACACTTGAAACTTACCCATTTTGTTCCCCTGACTGAAGAGAGAGAGAGAAAGAGGATTTCCCCTTGTGGAAAAATCATGACTTTGTAGCGGAAGGTCGGTTTCGCCTTCTGCAAAAAGGCCTCTGCTTTTCTCTCTCTAGAGTACATAATCCCCCCGGGTCGCGTGCCCCCCCTCTTTCTCTCTCTACAGAGTGAGAAATTATACTTCCTAATGAATAATACAATACCCGCTATATATTTTTCGGTTAAAGGATGGGACTGATATATCTATAGAGAGAAAGTTTGTTGGGTTTTTCTGGTTTTTGTCTTGTGGGTTTTTGAAATGGTTCACGAAATGGGTTTTTAATGGGGGATGGAGTCCTCTTGCTTTTCCTTCTCTGGGCTCCTGCCTTGGCACAAACAAACAAGGGTTTGTTAGAGAGAGAGAAGTGGGGGTCTATTTGAGGACATGATGCTTCTGGCCTAATGAAGTTGTCGGTTTGCAGGGTGTGGACGCTCTTCATGAGGCCATGAGAGAGAGAGAGAGAGAGAGAGAGAGAGAGAGAGAGAGAGAGAGAGAGAGAGAGAGAGAGAGAGAGAGAGAGAGAGAGAGAGTAGTAGTAGTAGTAGTAGTAGTAGTAGTAGTAGTAGTAGTAGTA